GACGCCTTGGAATGAGAAGCGTGTTTATTAGCCAGGGAACCACATAGACCAGAATTCCTGCTCTTTTCCATACTGTGATACTGATGTTGTAAAAGGTTGTTGGTTCTGAACCCCTACAGAACCACGTTCTGGCTCTCCAGCTTTTATTATTTATATTTACAGTATTTTTATGCATTTGCCAGATGCATTTTTTTGTATTGCACTCAAGGTATATATTTTATTAGTTGGGAATCAAACCCATGACCTTGGTGTTGCTAGCACCATAAGGTACTGTACAGGCTTTCTGGTCAACTTCACTCTTCATGGCTCTGAATGAACTCACACGTCTAATATTAGCCTGACAAATGTCCATTTTACACACCAAACCAGTTGTGTATCATGTCAACTCTACATGCATTAGAGGTTAACACCAAAAACACTGTTTCCAGACATTCTGACTTTGAATTAACATTGTGAAAAATGCATGCACCTTGAATCTTTTAACAAATAGTGTGTGTGTTTAATGGGTTTAAATGGACTGTGTTTACAGCAGAGCACATGTTATAGTGCTGACTAAACTCTTTACACACACACACACACACACACACACTAAACTATGCACAGGACCGGACTGCAAATGATCTGAAACTAAGCAAGTTCTCCATTAAAATCGCACAGGGATGCGGATACAACATGCACAAGCATACATTTATTGAGGAACTAAAAAAACAAAACTGCAACACAAGTGAGCAGTGAATGCACATGTGTAATCATGCATTCTGGCATATAATGCATGCATTACTGTGACGCGTGTACAAGCGTGACTAAATCAATCTGAAAAAGACCAACACATGAGTCACAGAACACCAGGAGAATTGTGGAGGATCAGCAGAAGTTGATCTAAATCTACCAACAGCCTTGTTAATAAACAGTGCACATTTTCTGCTTTCAGATATTAATATTTTTAAATATTGTGTAAAATAAGCATTCATTTACATAAAGCCATGCACATTAATCTCATTTATTAACATGTGTATGTGGTCATTATAATAGCCATATCTGTTGACTTTTTTTTTTAATTCAACATTACAGAAATAACATTACATAATTCCTGAAGAAACTGTTTAGCATTTGTTATACAGAATAATGTTTTTTTTAGAACAAACTATAATATATATATTGTAAGCTGAATAAGAAAATGACTTAAGATGTCACAAATGAGGAAATAAAGCAGGTTGCATCATACTGCAACATAATCCCCAAACCGGAAGCAGACAAGCACAGAGACTGAGACTGGAGTAAATATTCGCAGTGCATTAGTGAAGTCTTACCTGACTGTAGGCATGATCACACACACACTTTGACTGTCTGCAGTAACAGTGGTTCTGCTGCACGCTGTGTGTGTGTGTGTGTGTGTGTGTGCGCGCGCACATGTGATCAGTTCCCACACTCAAGTTCCTGCAACCCGGAAGCCCAAATCTGCTCCAGATGATTGGTTGTGACACATGCATGGGCGGATGGATAGATCTATCATTCTTGGTGGCTGACAAGCCCATGTGTGTTTTAAAGGTCTGTCTGAAATGTCACAATCATGACGTGTGTAGCGCGCTCGCTGCGTGCATCTGACAGGATCGAACCACACAAGTCAATAATCAATAATCATGCATCCAGTGTCTCGCATGCACACATGACGACATGTGAACATCATGCATGCACTGTGTTGCATAGGCTATATATGACGTCCTGATATCAGATCGGTGATGCACGAGCTCAGGAATGGATGCGCTGGTGGTACATTTGGTTCAACCATCAAAACAGACATGCATTCGAGTCATTTCTGCATATCGCATCATAAACTACGAGTGCATGATGCATGTCGTGATATAATGCTCTGTTTACTGCATGAGCTGTGATCATGAAATCAATCATAAACATCTCCTCCCTGAACTCGACACGAGCATCAGATAGCGCTTGTGTGATTTGAGCTCAGTGTCTTCTTGTTCTGCGTGTTTTTCTGTGCAGCAGTGCAGCCACACACCGACATCTTCCTGTGATCAGACTGACAGAACACGAGCTGATCTCAGATCAGATCTCACACTGCTGCTTTCTTTTCTACTGATGCGTTTAGCAGCTTTGCATTTGCAATACACGTCAAAATTGTTGGAACATTTTTCTAGCAAAAAAAAAAAAACGAACACTAGCTTGCTCTATACTTTTTCTATTATTTTCATTTATTATATAATTTTAAAAAACTTGCTAAAAACTAGCACTTGCATATCATTGCTCTTTTGTTGATTTTAAGTCGCTTTGGATAAAATGTGATGTTTATGATGTTAAAAAGTAGATTAAAGAAAAGTGCAGAATCTATCAATGTGTTTTTCTATGAGCATAAATAAATTTGGGGTAAAATAGATCAATTTGATTTAGATTTAATTAATATGCATATTTCTTTTTCTTCTTTATTCCATCCAGCATCTTTAGACTTGAGTTTTACAAGATTTCTTAAGTGTGTTCAGGAAAAAAAAAAAATTAGATAACACAAGTAATAGTAAGGATTAGCTCAGATTTTATTTCCAATATGAAATTATAAAAAAAAAATTGAGAGATTGTAAGAGTTCCATTAAATATTTAACTTCAAAAATAAACTAGATAAATTAATACCATTTAATAAAAAATATTATTTTTAATAAAATAGCTATTTAGATATAGATATTTCCCCTAATTATTATTTTTTTTTTAATCGCTTTTTAACTTCAACTGGGGATGTTGTATGTCAAAAAATATTGTAACTGATCAAAAACAGTTAATTGTTAGAACATAGTGAATGTCATAGAGGGTTAACTGTGGTAAAAAGTGCCATACATGGACTTGAGTGTCAGTGACAACAGAAATAATATGAACAATAATGTTGAATAAATAGCTTTATATTTAGAAGGCCAATCTCATTTGCATGACCTTTAAAGCAATATATAATGCATATTCATTGACCATTTAAAGAAATACCAACAAATATAGTCCGACCCATCTGATTGAGTTGATAATTAGTTCTTTTATTATGACAAGGCACATCAGGTCTTACAGGCTGTCTTTAAAGATGAACACATTATTTACATTAAACTGCTGGTCTCCAAAGCGATAGAAAAGGCAAATATAGCAAAGAGCTGATTCTCACTCATAAATATACTTGAGTGTGCTTTCTGTAGTAGTGTATGGAGCACAGTGATGTCTTAGTGGAAATACGGCAGTGTGTGTGTGTGTGAGTGAGTGAGTGTGTGTGTG